AAATTTATGAAATCTTTTACCAAACTTGGACCAAGAATTGAGACTACTTGTATTCATATACATTTGGTAAAAGAATCTGGCGTAATTAAAACCCTAATTTAACAAGCACAGCGATTTGCAAGCACAAAATACTCAGGACTGAATATAACCTAAACGGCATAGAAATGATCGAGCATAAATGGGTGAGAAAGAGATTTGTTTTTATTAAAAAACAACGTTAGACTTTCTTAAAATTTTTGAATACTGGTAATGGTAGTCGTTGCCCTTTTACTTAAATAAAAATTTGAAAATAACAAAATTTAAATAATTAAAAAATTATATTAATTAATTTATTTAATTAAATTAAATACATGTTCATGTACGGTTTCAACAGCATTCATTTACATCAGAGTCGTGTCTCGGCGTGTTTATATGCGTGTATGTATGCAACACAAAGTTGAACCCAAGCAGCAACAACAACAACAGCTGCGGGCAGTGCTACAAGCAGAGCATGGGCAGCGATTTTATTTATGGCTATAACTTTCTTCAGAATTGACCTATCATGATGAAACTTGGCAGACAGACACATAATCACTAACGGGATGTAGCTACCATTTCAAAATTCCAAAACCTACGAGGGTTATGGAAAAAAACACGAGTTGCGGGGGAGTGGGGGGCGTATCAGAATAAAAAAAATAAACTTGACCTGCCTAGGGCTTATGGAAATCTGTATACCGACTTTGGTTATTCTAGCTCTTGTACCTTCTGAGATCCTTCCGCTCATACAGACGGACGGACAGACGGACATGGCTATATCGACTCGGCTTGTCACCCTGATCAAGAATATATATACTTTGTGCCTGCCATGCCTCCTTCTGTGTGTTACATACATTCGTACAAAACTAGTATAGCCTTTTGCCCTTCGGGTACAGTAGACCCTTTTTAAAGATATATCAGAAACCAGAGAGGAATGCTAGTGGACTCTTAGTAGACTCTTAAATACCCTGCACCTACTCCCACAAAAAGAAACCAAAAATTATTTTCAAAATAAATTTTAAAAAATTAAATTAGTTAAATAATTAAAACAAACAAACTAAGTCAAAGCAATAACAACAACAACAACAGTTGAGTGCAGAGATTACATTAATGGCTATAACTGTCTTCAGAAGTGACCGATCATGTTGAAACTTGGCATACACATTCATAATCACTAACCAAACGTAATTTGAGTTAGAAATTCCAAGAATTACGAGAGTTAGGACCTTTTTGACCCTTATTAATGTTAGAAGTTGCAGCTCCGACTTACATATATAGTAGGTATGTACATATGTATACGTAAAGCTTAGCACATTTGACTCATGGTCACATATTAGGTCTCCTAACCCACTGTGCAATGGTCAGCAGAAAACCGTAATGAAATGCTTGGAATGCGAAGCGTTTCGAAAAACCAAATAAAGGCGGCAGCCACGAATGATGATGACGACGACGCCTGCTCAATCAAATCGTTCGAAATCTTCGAAGACCCGTTGCGTTCGATGTCGAAACGAAAGCGCAAGTAGACCGGGCCCTTCAATTTTTATTCACTCGATGATAAAGCCAAGCTACATGAGTCTTTATGTGAGTATGTTCGTATGGAGGTAGTACATACAAACTTGTTAATAACAATAAATAAGGCCATACAAATTATGCGGCATATATTTAAATGAAATAATTTTAGGTCGTCATCGGCGCTGTTGTTGTGTTCATTACTGCAACAGCTCTTGCTGGCATTCTAAGTAGTGAAATTTTTTCGTACAGCTTTCAACTTGACTTGCATAACCTGTTGTCTGGTTTGTTTTCGACTGGTTACCGAAAAAAAATTTCAATTAAAAAAATACTCGCTCCGATTATGCTCAAAAACAAAGAAAGTAAAATGCGCAAAATATAAATACATAATTTATGGGCAATATTAATGCACAATTCAAAAATAAAAGCATAAAAGGAGAAGGCAAAATCATTTTTGTATTTTTTTTTTCATCTAAATTAATGTGCGAAAATATTGAAATTGAGTCAAAGTCACCCGTGGAATTGACTAAAGCTCAAAGGTCAACACAAAAAATAAACAAAAATTATGCAATAAAAAACTTCCAGCATGTTCGCTGAAGTTGCCAATTTTGAGCTAAATATTTATTAAACTAATTAATGAAGAAATTTGTACATACTTATAAAAGGGTATTTCCTCTTTCAACAAATAGGCAAACAATTTCAGGGTTTGGGGCAAAGCCTTAGATATACATAAATCAGCCGTTTGTTCATCAACATGCCCGTCTAAGAGACACCTTCTACCTTACTGGAGTGTATCTTTATTTATAAACGATTTGTAAAAAACCTTTCGCAGCTTAGCTTATTTATACCTACATGGGTGTCAAACCGAATAAAACGAATTGTATTGAAGATTATTAGCAAACATTATTATTCAGTTAGACATACATATAGTAGTATATAAATACAAGCATACTGTAAATCAACAAACTCCCCCTGAGGCCATGGTGAATGTTTAGAAACTAGTAAGGACATGGTTTACTAATTTGTGTGTCGAATGATGAATGTTTTCAGAAGTATAGATCTTTAAAGGTGTGAGAGTCGTGAAACAAGTTATATTTTAATTTTTAAGATGGACAAATATAGACTCGTTCACGCCCACCCTCAAATGCTTGTGTGCAACATTTAGCTAGTCGGATTAGCCAAAGAAACTGGAAGCTGTTGGCGAGAGAAGAAGACTTTCAACTGTTGCCGTTGTCAGACAATCAGTCCGTCAGTCACCTAACGGCTTCTTTGGTTTCATATCAACAAATACAACAACAACCACCTGTTGTTGACACGATTTGTGGCTGTTATTATTGGATGCTGGCTGCTGTGCTCGACTCGTGCATTTGTATTTAAATATGTATGCCTGTGTCTATGAATGTAATATTTTTCTATCGAGATGTTTGCGGTCAAACAGAGAGGGCCGCACCAGCATAAAATGTGGTACAATGACCGTAAAAACGTGTCACAGTCGCAGTCACAGGGACAGTAACTGAAATGAGGTAAACCGGTTGTAAAGAACTTTATCATAAAACTTAATAATATTATTATACCCAGCATACATACACATGTATATATGCGCTTTCATACATTTCTAAGAACAAACATATAGCATCTTTAGCTAAGAGTGCTTCTAAAGCATGTTGTGTGTTTGTTTGTGCGTGTGTGTGTGTGTGTGTGCGTGCGTGCATTAACAGCCTAGCTATATTTAATAGCGTCGAAAGCACAATACAAAACACACAATCGCCGGCCCACTTGCTTTTAGCCAAAGAGGTGGCGTCGACAACAACGGAGGCAGCAGCGCGAATTCCACTTCTTCCTCTTGCAAGATTTGTTGGACTTTGAACACGAAGCCGCTGCTCGTTTGAAATGTTAAAAATTTCTATTTAGTGGTATTTTGAACGCTCTCGCAATTCGCAGTCTCTTTTGTATATATACTTGTACTTGTGTGTATACATATGTACAAACATATCTACATGCATACATACATATGCATGTGTTTGTTGTGTACCTTAAAAAAAGCAGAAGCATTGTTACGAATCATGTGGCAGGCTGAATTTAACAAAAGTAATTGACAAACAAACATGCCAGCCAAGAACTTGAACTTTAGTGCCAATGAAATGCAGTGTATTGATTTTAGTTACTGCGGCTGACTTGTTGACAAAACTTAGTGAAGTTTTGCGCAATTTACAAAATGCATTTATTGATTTTGCCATTAACAAGTGTTGTTTTTCTCCAATAATACTTTTCTATTTAGGTATTTACATTGCAAATGGTCTGCCGAAAGCTAGAAGCTCAAGGTGCAATGTTTTAAAAATTCCTATATAAACGACTTGTGCACCTCCAATATTTGCATTTCTGTGGAAGCGGGTGGCAACCTGTTGGATGCATAACCAAGTGCACTGTAGCTGGGTACTGAGTTGACTTTGGTCACAGCAATAAAATCGAGAAGCTGTTAATTGATGTCACGACCACCAATGGTCGAGGAAAGCAAACAAGAGAGTTGTCCACATTTCAACAACATTTTACAATATGTTTGTTTTTATTTGCACATTAATTTGCTGACCTTTTGCTTTGAATAATATAAACAGTACAAGAAAAACTGTGTTGTGCGCTGAATTTTTGAACGACGTTTCCGCATTGTTTACACTTATGGGTGAAATTGTTTCTCTTTTTACTTTTTTGTTGTTGTTAGTTTTAATTGAACGACACCTGCGCACGCTAAAATATGCAGCAGGGCAGAGCACGCAGGCGCGCACACACACTCTCACAAACTCTCGCACTCACCTCCCTTTCCCTGTGTGTGGGGGCAAGAGCTGGAGAGCGAAAAGGCAACGCTGGCAATGATGCAAGCAAATTTGAATTGACATAACTAATTGTGTGCAAAGCAATTGACGGCACAATAAACTCGCATTAGCATGTTGGTTGAAAATAGAATTGAAAAAAGGGAAAACTTAGACGTATCATACTTGTAGGGAAGGGATTAACAAACCAAAGCAACAAACTAGTCATGCGATGGTAATGGCGATGACCGTTGCGATGACACACGTCTATTAGCAAAGGTAAACAACCTTTGCTCATGCTACTTGCAATGCCAGTTAGTGTACAATCCCCCTAAGCAAAGGTCACACTACGTCCCTGTGCAACTGCTCTCACACACACTCTCTCTCACACACCACACACACACACGAATACATGTGCACGTGGACACGGCTGCTCTCTCGACTGCCTACTGTTGCTTCCGCACGCTCTCTTTCTCTCTTACGGCGTTGGACGAAGTAAGTAGGAAAAAAATCAACCGCCTGGGTGCGGCGGGAAACAGGAGACCAAGACCGCGCCACTTTTTTAATTAAAACCATTGCTATGTAAAACGATGACTAATTTTGTTTGTTGCTGTGTGCGTGTATTTCACCTTAGTCAGTAGATGCCTAATTGTACATAAAAGAAAAACTTACGCTTCTGCTAAATTCCAGAGTTCGTAAGGCCGGCAATCTGGCAACAGCAACAGTCAAAGAATTATGCTTTAATTTAAATTATTTCTCACTCTTCAACACTCACACACACACACACATTCAAGCACACGTCGCACTGCCAAATCGACCGATGCGCGCGCTCGGTATTAAACAAACGTACGCCGCTTTTACGGTTACCTTGCTGAAATGACAACAAAAATTATATTTTCACTCTAAATTAGCACGCACACACGAACCGAAACTTATATTGAAAACGCGGAGCGCAGCGACGGCCACACAAGCACAACCACACGCACGCCTTTTTAGCCAATAACTAAAAAACAGACTCACTAGAGTTGTTGATGTCGTATCGATAAAACTTATATCAACGATACACGATACAACTGGATACGATAGTTGACATAAGCACTATCACACTCGATGTCGCCAAAGTTCGCATTTAAATATTCCACGATGATTAAAACTCATTATCTAATAAGATAATTTTTAATGCTTTATTAATCTTAAAGCTTCTGACATCTATCGTAAATAAATATGCAAATTTTTAAACTTAATTTATCTACTATTTAGATTTTCGTAACGGCTTGAATAGCAACATCAATTAGTTTGTTGATATCGCGATAATTCCACCACTGCCACTTCTATTGTGAATAACCATAACAGCTGTTTGACAGTGCTACCACGTCGTTGCCTTAAAGACTCAAAATTTAAATTTTTAAACTGCTACGCCTAAATAATATGCTCATATTGTCAAAACAAATATTAAAATTTAGACTAAATAATATACGATGCGTTAATATAATAATTTATGCACATAATCAACTGAAAAACTTCGACAAATCCAACTTAGTTCCATTTTAAGGGTAAGTAGTGCGCCATATTAATGAATGTGTGTCGATTTCATATTGCGAAATATTTTTCCCCTTGAAAACTACTAGTCGGGTATTTAAAACTTGCATACCAAAAAAAAAGTGTACTTACATTTTTATATACTGAACAGTATTCAGTTCGATTCCATTTCCGACTCTCAGTCTTATGATTATGAAACAAGAGAAAATTGGCCGAACGCCGATCTTTGGAAATCTTAATATTATTAATGAATATATATTTTTCATTCACATATTGAGATGTGTACGTAATTTTGTGAATAATTTCTTGTGCCATTAGGAAACGCATCGATCCTTTCAGCATTAGTTGGGAGTGTTTTGTAAATAGTACATATTGATATCAATTTTTGAAGGTAAATTACTACTTAAGTTAATGGAATCCCGGTCCCACAGCGCGCGTAAGCAATTTATTTTATACGATATTAAATCAGGAATGCAGTAAAACCACTGTCGTTTTGCAGTCACAATACCATATACTATTAATAACTCAAGCTTCAAATATATGTTTGTACCGACTCCAACTCTTATTTTAGTCTATAAATTCGAAGTAACTTAATTAATACAATTTGCTCTTACCTTACGAACCATTTACGGTGAAATTTTAATTTCAAGCAAACCGAAATGGGAAAAGCTATAATAATAATTTGTTAAGCTATTTTTGTTTTAAACTGTATGTATTGATTGGTTCTCCTGTGGTGTTTTGAGAATTTTTGTATATTTCGTACAAATTTCTCACATATCTGTTCAGCAAAGCAATTGCACAGAATTTGGATCCTAAAAGTATGCTTTGTTTCTTAACAACAGAAACATGTGTTCGCTGTCATTGGAACTGCATAATATTCAATAACTTACTGTTATACCCTGTACCCGTAGGGTAAAAAGGGTATATTAGATTTGTGCAAAGTATGTAACAGGCAGAAGGAAGCATCTCCGACCCCATAAAGTATATAGAGAGAACGCTACAGTCGAGCAAGTCCGATAGTAATATACCCTGTACTCTCAACAAAAAAAAGTAAATAAAAAAAATTTCCAAAAAAAAAATCATTAATTAAATGAAATACAAAATATTCAATACATATGTATTTTATTTATGGCTATAACTTTCTTCATACTTGACCTATCATGATGAAACTTGGCCTACGGACCCATAATCACTAACTGGAGGTATTGGCAAAGTTGAGTACAAAATTCCAAAATTATGGAAGTTATGGAAAAAACACAAATAGCGGGGAAGCGGGGGGTGCATCGAAAAAAAAACTCAAACTCGTACTTTCTCGGTCTTAGGAGAATCTGTATACCAAGGTTGGTTGTTCTAGCTCTGATATCCATGCGTTCATACAGACGAACAGACGGACGGACAGATAAACGGACATGGCTCTATCGACTCGGCTTGTCATCCTGATCAATAATATATATACTTTTGGAGGTCTGCCACGCTTCCTTCTGTCTGTTACATACAAATGCTTATGTCGCACAAAACTGGTATACCCTTTCACCCTTTGGGTACAGGGTATAAAAAAAAACAATTAAAGCCTTTGAGTCAGTTTGACGTAAACATACAAAACTAAAAACTCCCCCTAACCATCTTATTATTATTAAACAAAACTAATTTTAATTATTAAAAAAACTCGCTAACCTCCTATCTTCAACACAATTCCAGCAACAACAATTTTATTGTTGACTTAAAACTGGAGTTTTAACATAAGTGAGCTTTTTACTAAAAACACTCAAATTGTACAAATATATAATAAACCATATTTATTTATAAAATTCAAAATAATAAATATCATAACAACGATACGACTTAGAGCTTTTCTATGCAAAATAGATGGAGGAGTAAAGTTGCTGCCTTCATATATTAAAACGGAGAGAACTTCTTAGCTCGTATTGTTTAATGAATTATTTAAAGACTTCAATCAAAGCAATTTTACCCTTTTAAGACGCCTGGAAAAAAATCCAAAACCAATCGTTTGTCCTGACTAATAAATGGTTGATCAACAAAAAGCCAACACTTTGGCAATTTTCCTTTCGAAGTATGACTGGGCACCAAAAAGCGGTTTTGTAAAATTTGATCTCTAATGGGGGATAATGGGCTGCAAAGCTTGTCATTTATGTATAAAAGGAAAAACTCTTTTTGTCCGACCATCATCTTTTTAACCATTTTTGATTTAAAAAATGCCAGTTTGTTTGTAAATAATCAAGCGTCTAGATTTTATAGTAATTGAAATGCCGGCTAATTACAAATCTCGCATTTATTTATAAAATAAAAAACACATCTCTTTTGTTCAAAAAAAATCCAAAGACATAATAATATACACGTATAAAAATGTTTCGCTTGCATTACCAAAAACACAATAATAGAGAGAAATATGTATACAAAAAGCGGGTATCTATGCCAAGATATATATATATATGCTATATCATTTTGAGTACATATGTATGTTTATACATACATATCTATGTAGATATACGTACATACATGTACTAATTAGAGCGTATATGGTAGGTACATACAACTAAAATCCTCAGAATGGCCCTGACGGCGTTTAAAAATATAACTTAACCTGCACGACATACTTGTACACACATAGAGATATACTTGTACATACACTTTCATAGGCATCTCCCTAATTTGCAAGCGGACACGTGCTCTGTACAAAATTGCCAGCACGGAGTTCCCGCAGGCATATGACGAGTATGTAACATAATCGTACCATTGCTATGAATTGGATTTCTATGACAATATGCATGTTTGTTCTACTATACTCTCCTCCTTCTCTGAATCTTGTTGTAACTTAGGACTATGCTTGGACTCCCTATGCTTATGTTTAATTAACGCGTAATTTATGGTAATTTACTTTGTAAGTGTAATTAATTTATGTTTTATTCTTGGTTGGCTGATTGGCGGCGGCTTCATTTGTTGCCCGCATTCACGAGCACCCGCTGTCGCGTCGTGTTCGAGTTCGAGTTGGAGTTCGAGTTCGAGTTAAGCGCAGGATTGCACATCTCAGTGGTGAACTTGGAGAAGGTGTTCTGAAACTTGTTGATATTGCCGTTGATCTCGCCATTTCGCGGGGCAACGTCGCCATCCTTGTGCGCCTTGATGGCGCCATTGGCATGCCCGTTGGCCTTTACAGCGGACTTGTCCTGCAAATACGAACAACGACAGAGGCTCGTCTTAGTTTCGACTCGCACATATAGCTGATTGACTCAAAACTCACCTTGCCATCACGCTTCACATAGGCGCGCTTGTAGAAGTTGGAGAACAGGAAGTAGAACATGACTGCATGGGCTCCAATGAAGTAGGCAAAGCCAATGGGATAGTTGCAATCGTTCTTGAAGAATAGCTGGAACGAATGCACCATGACCAGCACAAACTGGATCATCTGCAACACCGTCAGGTATTTCTTCCACCACAGATAGCGCTGCACCTTCGGTCCCATGGCGGCCAGCATGTAATACGCGTACATGAAGATGTGCACGAACGTGTTCAGGAAGCCGAAGAATGTCGAATGACCGCCTGGTGTGAACTTCACGCCCCACCACACAGACACTGGCATGATACCGTGATGGATGACATGCAGAGTGGACACCTGGTCGTAGCGCTTGCGCATCACAAAGAAGAACGTGTCGAAGAACTCAGTGAACTTGGAGAAATAATACCACCAGCAACCCGCTGCAGTCTGTTGAAGGAGAGGAAAATGTCATTAAGAATGTTTGTTAAAGTCTGATCTAAGATATACAATAATGATATGCATAAATATTCGGATACTGAAATATACTAAAGGCTACAAATGATTACAAGAATTTAGGACATTCCCAGATTGGAATCATACTGCATATTTAAAAAAAAGACCGCAGCTTAAGCAATGGGAAGGTAAATTATGTGGTGACCCCTTAAATCAAAGCATATATATTTACTGTACTCTTCAGATATGCCGGTGATTTCACAAGAATCCCTCGTGGTTGCAGCTTATGTGGATGATACGGTATTCCTGGCTATATCTATATGCCCCAACAAAGGCTAAGAAGTGCTTTAAGATCAGCTATACTTTCAACAAGTGGCTGCTCAGATCGAATATGAGGACAATACAGAAGAGTCCTCTCAAGCAAGATTTGCTCTAAAGAGAGGAAACTCTCGCCCGTTCTGTGGTGCACGTAATAAAATATATGGATCTCATCTGGAAGCCCCACATTTTTGATAAGTTCAAATAATAATCAAAGATAATCTTGGAAAAATGGGCAGAGCTGTTGTACAGAAAATCGAAGCTGAGACTAAGAAACAAGCTTTCACTAAAAAAGAGTATCCCCAAGCCAGTCGGGACAAATGGCATCCACCACTGGTTTTATATCTAACGTTAAAGTCCAGCAGAGATGCCAAAACAAATTACCGAGCACAATCCAATCCAAAGCTCATCCGTTCATCTCTAAAAAGAGCATTTATTTGGACATTTATTAGTGTTCATTTCAATATTGCCTTGCCCTGCCCTTCAGAATATTTCATTTTGTCCATTACTAAGCACCAGATAAAATAAATATATATATGCACAATATCTAACACAACATTTTCTAAATCTAAATTTTTAAAATATAAACATTGAAATTGCCAAGGCATAACTATCAGATTTAATGATTGTCCCCTTAAGGAAATTGTAGTGTGCATACATAAGGAGTACACACTGTACGCAGTGCACTCTTAAGAACATACACTGTAACACTTTATTGCAGTGAATAAATTAATTCAAAAAGCCAAGCATAATTCGGACGCGATGTAATATGATCGCGCATGCATTGGGCGACATAAGTGCAGCGTCAGTGCAACTAGTGTCAGCCACCTCAAGTGCACATAACATTCTCCCTCGCGCTCTCGCTGCCAACAGCGCTGAGTACAAATACATAAGTAAAATACATAATGCGGCCGCTCCGCTGCCGGCGTCTCTGGCAGCGCAGCTACGAGGCCTTAGCTAAGTTCATTTTAAGTAAAATGTAAGAAATCAGTATAAGTTCAAGTTTTAAGATTGAGTGTCATAAAAGTTAATAAATAATTAATAAAAACTCATAATAAAAAGTACGTATGTTATTACATGGCGACCGTGACAGTGTCCTACATAGGACCGTGATAGTGGTCCTGGAGGACCAAGGACAGAGGAGCTGATATACCATAAAAACGACCATAATAACGGCAGGAGGACAACTTTAAAATTCGGAAGACGGAGCTTGGCATGGACATCAACACAATAAAAATACTGAGTGAGTAGAGTGCGCGAGTGATGGGTAAACGCGGAGGTGTGCACAATAAAATTAATAAGAGAATAGCACATTTAAAGTGGCTTTTATTCTCAACTGCAACACCACCCGCGTGGACAACGGCCCAAAAATTGCAGGCAGAACTTGACTATTTAAAGTCAATAAGCAAAAATGCGAAACCCGACTCCGCAACTCGCTCCACTCGTATTGAAAATATAAATAAACGTGAAATAATTTTACCGCCTTCACCCAAGCAACTGCCAAGGAACGCAAAAAGCTGCCCAACGGACTGCGAGGGACCATTGCACACCCCACACTGCGAGTACACGTGCCGCCACTGCACGATACGCAATTAGGAGCAGTAAGTGTGAAAGGCATAGGACCGCCTTTTGCACCACCGCTGGAAAAACGCCGACGACAACTGTAAGTGCGGGAGGCAGGCCGCCCCTTGCACCAACGAGGGAGCATCAGCGTGCCACACCGGCGACGCCCAGCTGATGCGGGAATACACCACATCAAATAGCGACAAGTGCGGGAGGCAAACCACCACCAGCGACAACGAGGGAGCATCAGCGTGCCACACCGGCGACGTCCAGCTGATGCGGACGCCACAAGACGACAATCCCAAAAAGGGACACCAGAGGAAAATTTAATGATTAAGCAAAGATAAAAACTTATAATGCAAAATTTGTAATGCATATTTAAGTTAAAATATATATATGTAAGAAAAATTGTAAAAAAAATAGCCAATAAGAAAATTGTAAAATAATTAATAAGGAAAATTGTAAAATTGAGCGGAACCTTTTCTGCCCGATTAGAAGTACAGCCCGTAAAGCTGTACGAACAAATAGGCAGGAAAATTGTCAATCTTTTAATAGTATGAATGAGGAGCAATAGTATAAGTAAGATAGATCAGATAGAAATATATAAGCCATATAAAAGTGGCATAGTTACCGATAAAATAAGTAATATACCCAAAATGGGTTTGATAGACACTAAGGTAGTAGATTCCACTGCAGGAATTGTCAATAAGGTGGAATCACAGAAAGTAGATGTAGAAATGATAAATATCCTGTTGGTAGTAATCGTTGTGTTAATGAGTGCGAATTTGTTTTTTAAGCTGTATAAGCTACACAATAAATGCCTAAAAAAAAAGAATTCTGAGTAAGGCAAATGACTTAGATAAAATATAAAAAAATATACAGCGATTACTGCCAGCAGCAAAAAAAAATTATTAATAAATAAATATAAATAAAAAAAGGACATTTTTCACCAATGTAAAATTATAATATCAGGTATGCCCAAGAGTGGAAAGAAATCCACACCTAGGTAGAACCAACCACTATGCACAATGGGTAGATGACCAGGACAATAGATTTAAACAGTAAATAATAATTATGAAATATAGGAATAGAATAGAAGAAACATAAATAAATAAAAATTAATAAATAATAAATAAAACATAAAAATTAAAAGTAAAAAAAAAGAAAGGGTGTTCAACTTAATTACCTAGGAGTCCAATGAAAAAAAAATCTTGCTGAGCATCAAAATTATCCATAATACATGGACTGGAATGCTATATGCGGGAGAGTGCAAGAGCTGAGAGCTGAATTTGATAAATCATACAAAAGCCTCACTCAAAATAGGCCAATACAGATTGGTACATTGAATAAGCACACCATCAAATTGGTGCATTATTATAACGAGATCCGAGAGATATTCCTAGAAAACAAACCTAGGCTCACGGATCTCCATTGGACTCAGGCTTCAGACGTTGTCAAACGTCTAAGAGAACAGCTGCTCGCTGTTAGGGAAAGACATGGCTTGGATATACACTTGCCAAATGTCATAAGTAGCGCGGCGACATATATAGCTGTGGACGGAGATGAAGTAATGTCTATAAGTCCCAGGTCAAAATCGCCTAATACGGCATATGTCAGCATAATTTCGGAAGAAGATTCCAAAAGCGGACTTACTCCCAATAACAGCCCCGCAAGAAGCGAACCGGCTGACAGCCTCAACGCAATAGTAAACAGCCCGCAGTTGCGAAAAATGTCGCAGACACAGATACAATTCTTAAAAACGGCGTCATCTCTGATACCGGAGTTTGATGGCAAAGCCGAAAATTTGAGAAGCTTCTTGGACGCGTTGCAGTTGGTGGACTCAATTAAAGAGACACACGAGTCAACGGCAGTCCAATTAATAAAAACAAAGCTCAAAGGCAACGCACGCAATTTAATTAGCACTGAGAACTCAATTGCTGAAATTGTTTGCAAACTTTCTGCCACTGTAAAAGGTGACTCAGTTGAGGTTATTACAGCCAAACTGATGAACCTTCAACAGAAGAGCAAGACGGCTAATCAGTATACCCAAGAGGTAGAAAAACTGACAAAGTCTCTAGAGAGTGCATACATAAACGATGGACTTTCATTGGAGATAGCCGCTAAATACAGTACGCAACATGCTGTAAAATCAATGACGAAGAATTGTAACATTGACAGGGTAAAGCTGGTAATGGAGGCCGGCCAATTCAACAATATGAATGAGGCTGTCTCCAAGTTTGTCAATAGTTGTACCGATGCAACTGGACGAACAGATACAATTTTGTATTATAAAAACCAGCAAATAGACAGACGCTTCAGTAATAATCATAGAGCCAGAGGTAATAATAACCATCGCGTTGGAAATAGCTATCGTGGTGGAAATAACTATCGCGGTGGAAATAACTATCGCGGTGGAAATAACTATCGCGGTGGAGATAACCATCGTGGTGGTAGAAACTACCAGAATGGCTACCAACGAAATAACAGCAATTATAACCAAGTCCGACTGGTGCAAACCACGTCGGAAAACCAGTAAAAACCCTTGGGATAAAGAAAACTGTGGAACAAACGGTTCACGCAATAAACCTTAATTTCAATCTTTATGTTACACTAAAAAATGAAGCAACACATAAGTTGTACACATTGCTGGTTGATACAGGTGCAGATGTGTCTTTAATAAAGGAAGATACGGACTCGTTTGATAACGTCAATTATAATAATATTACTCAATTGTCCGGTATAGGTGAGGGAACAACCAATTCCAAAGGATCGGCAATGATAGAACTCCTATCAACATGCTATGCCATCCCTCATGACTTTCATATAGTAGATTCAGACTTTCCGCTTCCATGTAATGGAATAATAGGTATAGATTTTATGAAGAAATATAATTGTCAAATAGACTTAAATCAGGAGAGTGATTGGCTCATACTGAGACCTAATAATATTGATCACTCAATAAAAATCCCAATACATCATACACTTCAAAATAGTTACACAATTTTGCCAGCAAGATCCGAAGTCGCCCGAAAAATTTCCATAAATACTACAAGCAAGTATATATTCATACCAAATCAAGAAATTCAAAACGGAGTATACATTGGGAACTCCATTGCAGACTCTAAAAATATTTTTGTCCGAATTTTGAATACCACAGATAAAAATGCAATCATTCAGTTAAACGAAGTAAATTTTGAACCATTGAGTGATTATGAAATAATAGAAACAAATATGAACAGCAGTCACATTGAGGTCTTGGACAAACTAAGTAAAAATTTCCCACCACAGTTCGAACACGCTCTTACGGAGATATGCACCAAGTACATTGACGTATTCGGAATAGAAACCGAATCGATATCAACCAATAATTTCTACAAACAAAAGATAAGAATGAAAGATGATGAACCAGTTTATATTAAGAACTATAGAATTCCACATAGCCAAAAAGAAGAGGTAGACAAGCAAGTCGAGAAGCTAATAAAAGACAAAATAGTAGAACCGTCAGTCTCAGAATATAATAGCCCATTATTGATAGTTCCAAAAAAGTCATTGCCGGGTTCTGATAGTAAAAGATGGCGTTTGGTGATTAACTATCGCCAGATCAATAAAAAAATCTTATCCGACAAGTTTCCGTTGCCCAGAATTGATGATATTCTCGATCAATTGGGTAGAGCTAAGTACTTCTCATGTTTGGATCTGATGTCAGGATTTCATCAGATAGAGCTTGAGGAAAGCTCCAGAAACATAACGTCTTTTTCCACGAGCAATGGCTCTTATCGCTTCACGCGATTACCATATGGTTTAAAAATAGCACCAAATTCATTTCAAAGAATGATGACAATCGCATTTTCGGGTATAGAACCTACTCAGGCATTCTTATATATGGATGACCTGATTGTCATCGGGTGTTCAGAAAAACATATGATTAAGAATCTTACAAGCGTTTTTGATTTGTGTAGAAAACACAACCTTAAATTGCACCCCGAAAAGTGCTCATTCTTCAGGCACGAGGTAACCTTTTTGGGCCATAAGTGTACTGATAAGGGTATTTTGCCAGACAGCAAGAAATATGATGTCATAGAAAGGTACCCAGTCCCAACGGACGCTGATAGCGCTAGAAGATTCGTTGCATTCTGCAATTATTATAGACGTTTTATAAAAAATTTCGCCGATTATTCGCGGCACATAACAAGATTATGTAGAAAGAATGTTAAGTTTGAGTGGACCGGTGAATGTCAAAAAGCATTCGAATATTTAAAAGTCCAGTTGATGAAGCCTACGTTGTTGCAGTACCCAGATTTTAGCAAAGAATTTTGCATAACGACGGATGCGAGTAAACAAGCTTGTGGAGCTGTACTGACCCAAAATCATAATGGGACACAACTGCCAGTAGCGTATGCATCAAGATCGTTTACAAAAGGGGAAAGTAACAAAAATACAACGGAGCAAGAACTGGCAGCCATCCATTGGGCAATAAACCATTTTCGACCATATATTTATGGCAGACACTTCACAGTCAAAACCGATCATAGGCCCTTAACTTACTTGTTTTCAATGACGAACCCGAGCTCAAAACTGACGCGCATGAGACTTGACTTAGAGGAGTATGATTTCACAGTTGAATACCTCAAGGGAAAAGACAACCATATAGCAGATGCGTTGTCGAGAATAACTATAACAGACTTAAAAGATATACATAAAGGAAACAAAATACTAAAAGTCACTACAAGAAATCAAAGTAAACAGAAAAATCTCTGCGCAGAGAAAGACAAAGTAGATTTGCATAAGCAAACTAAAAATAAAGCTTCAAAGCCCAACGTATACGAAGTCATTATAAATGACGAGGTACGAAAAGTAGTGACCTTGCGTACGACAGATTCAACATGTTTACTAAAGCATGGAAAAAAAGTCATAGCAAGAATTGATGTTAGCGATATGTACTCCAATGGAATTCTCGACTTAGGTCAGTTCTTCCAAAGGCTTGAAAGGCAAGCCGGTGTGCTTAATATCAGCCGACTCAAAGTGGCACCGAGCGAAAAGATTTTTGAAACAACTTCAATAGAATCTTTTAAAGAAATGGGCAATAAAATATTGAAATCATTAAGAGTAGCGCTACTCAAGCCGGTGACCCAAATAAATAAAGAAAAAGAAAAAGAAGCAATACTGTTTACATTCCATGACGATCCAATACAAGGAGGCCATACGGGTATAGCAAGAACAATGGCAAAAATAAAAAGGCATTATTACTGGAAAAATATAACAAGAGACATTACAAATTATATAAAAAAATGTCGAAAATGTCAAAAGTCGAAATCGACTAAACATACCAGAGCCCCATTGATAATAACAGATACGCCAATAAAGGCTTTCGATAGGGTAATTGTGGATACGATCGGTCCACTACCTAGGTCAGAAAAAGGAAATGAATACGCAGTAACTTTAATCTGCGATTTAACAAAATACCTTGTAGCCATACCAATAGAGAACAAAAGTGCAAAGACAGTAGCCAAGGCTATATTTGAACATTTTATTCTGAAGTACGGTCCAATGAAGACGTTCATTACGGACATGGGAACAGAGTATAAGAATTCAATAATTGAAGATTTATGTAAAAATCTAAATATTAAAAACATAACATCTACTGCACATCATCACCAGACTGTAGGAACCGTGGAGCGAAGCCACAGAACATTTAATGAGTTCATCAGGTCATACATCTCAGTCGACAAATCAGATTGGGATGTGTGGTTACAGTACTTCGTATATTCTTTTAATACTACACCCTCAATGGCACATGATTACTGTCCATATGAGCTAGTTTTTGGTAGAACCTCAAATTTACCAGAGTATTTCAATAGCATAGATAGAATAGAACCACTTTACAATATAGAAGATTATGCTAAGGAATCTAAGTTTAGGATAGAACAAGCTTTGAAAAGAGCAAGATTAATGCTAGAGTCAAATAAACATAAACAGAAAATTAGTTATGACAAGAATAGTTTAGATCTGAAGTTAAAAATAGGAGACCAGGTTCTATTGAAAAATGAAACAGGTCACAAGCTAGATTTTAAATATACAGGACCATATAAGGTAGAAAAAGTAGAAGAAAATAATAACATAATAATATCAAATAATAAAGACAAAAAACAAACAGTACATAAGGATAGGTTAAAGATTTTTAATTCGTAACTTGAAGTATGGCCATACACAAGCATAAATACATATATATAAATATCAATAAATACAAAAAAAAATATACATCAATTTTCTATGATTCCATCGAAAAAAAAAATAATAATAGAAAAAAAAATATATATATATACATATACATATAAAAAAAAAATAATAAAATAAAATAAAAATAAGATAAAAAAAAAAAAACAAAATTTATACATACAAATAAGTATATACATACATATATCAATTTTCCCTTTAAAAACATTATTAAACAAACAAAACAAATAGATTAATAAGAAACGAATCATAAAGATATAAACATATTTCATAACTAGATATACATGAAATTAATAGATAAATAATTTAGAAAATAACTTCATAATATTACGTTATTTTTCAAAAGGAGGGAGATGTAGTGTGCATACATAAGGAGTACACACTGTACGCAGTGCACTCTTAAGAACATACACTGTAACACTTTATTGCAGTGAATAAATTAATTCAAAAAGCCAAGCATAATTCGGACGCGATGTAATATGATCGCACATGCATTGGGCGACATAAGTGCAGCGTCAGTGCAACTAGTGTCAGCCACCTCAAGTGCACATAACATTCTCCCTCGCGCTCTCGCTGCCAACAGCGCTGAGTACAAATACATAAGTAAAATACATAATGCGGCCGCTCCGCTGCCGGCGTCTCTGGCAGCGCAGCTACGAGGCCTTAGCTAAGTTCATTTTAAGTAAAATGTAAGAAATCAGTATAAGTTCAAGTTTTAAGATTGAGTGTCATAAAAGTTAATAAATAATTAATAAAAACTCATAATAAAAAGTACGTATGTTATTACAAAATAATTGGAATAAAGACAAGAAAAGGCAAGTAATTTAAGCAAAAGCCCTTTAAGGATCAGTATCCTAAAAAGCCAATTGTCAAAATAGGGGAGAGAGAATTCAGATATCTACATAAATTATAATTAAATCGGGGCTATACAAATCGTTATAGATTGAACATCTCCATTTTTTTCTTTTTTTTTGGGCTTCACCAGTTTTTCTATAAACTTAATACCAAAGTTGTCTTTCGACAATACTATAAGTATTAAGTATTACTAAATATTTTCTACTGATTTTGTATTGTTTTAAGATATCTCTTAGCTATTAGGGTTGTATTGAAAAACTAAGCTTAAACAGAGTTCATGTTGTTTTTCCAAAGTTCCACAGTACCCAATGGCCTCAATTATTAATTTTAATTTAAACTCTACTCAAATATTCTCACTATTCACAATTTGTCATTTGCATGCGAATCCGGTAACGTGGCTTAAATATTTGCCGGCAAATTCGCACATCGGACGCAGCAAGGCAAATTTTGCTTCGTTTTTGTTGTGTCGTCAAACTGTTTGCTGTGCTACCAAAGTTCTGGGTCTAGGTCCACTATGGCATACACGAGTACAAATCTAAAGTCTGCTGGCTTTCTAGCCCTCTGCCACTTTCTTTTAGTCATTCACCTAATTCTTCGGCTAGCCAGGTTTACGCCTTAAAACACGTGACGCATACGCTCGGGAACAGCTTCAGGTTCTCCAATCGGCCGATTTGGCGATCTGCTAGCTAGCCGGCGAGCTAGCTAGCTAATTACCATAAGAACCTGTCGCAGCTTTGTGCAGAACTGGTTGCTTACATAAAATCTGGCACAGTCGCAAAAATATTTGCCTTTTGCCAGCATCTGCTTGCTACGCTATATGCCTGAACCCCATGCCTCTGTTTACAATACACGGGTATATATGTATGTAGTTGTATATAGCATACTATATACTCACTCGCAGCGCTTTTGGCGAATAGGAGTAGTCGACGGGCTCGCATCTCAGACTATAGCCATTCAGCCAGCCTCCTATGCAGGACTGGGAGAGTGAGGGGGAGAGGAAAGAGAAGCATTAATCGAGCATTGATCAGCAGCTTGGCCTTGGACGCCTTAATCACTTACCTCATAGAAAAGCCACGCACTGAAAACCACCTGCGCCGCATTATAGACGATCAGCACTTTGCGGAGCTCGAAGGGCTTTCTGTTTTCCATGAGCTTGGGGCCTAATACCTGCAGACAAAACAAAAGCATATTTTCAATTTCAAAAAGTAAGTTAACAAATTATTCGGCGCTCCAAACTCGCTTTTGCAGCGTGAAATATTTTATAGAATATAATTTATTTAAGCTGGATTGCAATTTGCAAATCTTTATGGTCGTTTGTTTTTTCTTTTTATCTCTTTTTGTGAGTGGGCCTGCAATTTAACGCTGTTTTAATTTTATTGCTAATTCCTTACATTGTGCGCAATTAAAAATATATTTGAGTGGCTTATGTGTAATTTGTTTCGTGTTTCGCGCAACAAGTTCTTGAGGTATTGCGCATATTAGTATAACCATCTGGGTCAAAACATAACAAAAGGCTGCAATTATAAACACTTTTTTAAGCCAAGTAATTAATAATTGTTGCACAACTCAAGACGGACATTAGAAATGAAGCCGTCACCATGCTTGACAAGTTTTCAAGCTCAGACACCAATGAAGCAATAATTATAAATTCTGCTAACCTTAATGGCCAGTGGAATGAAAAGTAAATCGCAAATACATATACTTGTATTATTAATAAATAACATATAACAATTGGTTCAATTTAACAAATAAGCTGAGGAATATTAAAAACTGTTTAGAAACAGAACCGTATTTAGAAATTCGTCAAAGCTAAGAGCACAGGTAACTCTTCCTACGCAGTCCGCTGTGTCATGATCACAATCATTTTAAGTGAACCAAATACAAGTTTAAAATATCAACAATAATAATAAGTAGCAATCGCTTGTGAATTTTGAAAGGAACGTACGAATTTGTTAATCCAATGTTGAATATAATTTACGGTCCATCTAAGTCGATGCTGTTGAAACAACAATCAGCAAAACAATATAATATAATTATACATGTACCGAACGGACACAAAAATCAACTAAACGAGTATCTTGCAGATACAAAGGCACATTATTTCTGATCTTTTCATATGATGTCTACCCTAAAATGCCGGCTTGTGGAGGTGTTATTTGTTAATTCTAAAGATGCAGCTAAATGTCACCGCATCAGCATTGGTATTTGGCTTCGGACAATCAAATACAATTTCCATCTAAGTCGATGCTGGTGAAACAACAAGCAGCAAAACAATATAATATAATTATACATGTACCGAACGGACACAAAAATCAACTAAACGAGTATCTTGTAGATACAAAGGCACATTATTTCTGATCTTTTCATATGATGTCTACCCTAAAATGCCGCCTTGTGGAGGTGTTATTTGTTAATTCTAAAGATGCAGCTAAATGTCACCACATCAGCATTGGTATTTGGCTTCGGACAATCAAATACAATTTCTAGATCCAATAAAAGAGTTACTTTTTAAGGTAACTTGACAAAGTCGTTTATTGAACCAGAATAACATCTTTTCATGATGTAATCACATGTGGCTGGAAATTCTAAATTTTTTGTCATTTAAGAGTAATTTATTGCTGGACTTTCTGCCTGAATGACCTTCAATAATCAAGCAGACAATATACTTTAATAGTTCTAGTTGAAATCGTCTACCATAAAGGGCCTGGTACAGTCTCCTAAAATAGTCATTAGCTGCTTACCTCATCTCGCAATTGTTGACAGTTCTTTTGCAACGGAGTTAGCTTTTCACGTTTAACAAATAAAAAATATTATATTACAAATTTTCTGAAAATCAGTAGCTTTTACTAATTAGGTCTCAGTCGATCCGCAATGATCATGGTTTATTGAATTAACCAAAATCTGCCATTGTCTTCGCCTGCTACTCAAATGTATTTATTTATTAGCTTCTTTACGTACAAAGTGTGTTAACTGTTTGTTGTTTTTTTCCGCTTCTACTGGACGCAGCCGGACGGTACTTGCAGCTACAGCTTCGCACTAATTTCATTTACCGTTGACCATTTAACATAATCAAACAAAAGAAAAGAGCGCTGCAGCATTTTGTCAAATCCACCGGGCCTTTGCCCATTTTCCCGGTTTGTCTAGGTGGGTTTTGTGACAAGTTCGTTGCCTAAGTCTTTTGTTTGGTCGCCCGCTGAACGCGTACATTTATGTATTTGTGGTTTTGGCAGTTATGTGAAAGTAAGTTAAATGCCAGCCTCTACGTGTATGTTGAAAAATTAAAAAAAAGACAGAAAATAAAATGAGGGCCAATGCAAAGCTGAGACCTAAATAGAAATCGTTTTGGTTTGATTTTGATTTCGGTTTTGCATAATCTTGACTCGCCTTGATCAATTTTTACAACAGGCCAGCATTTCAACATACCAACTAATTGCCTGTGTGCCTGTATTTGTGTGTGTGTGTGTGTGTGTGTGTGTGTGTGTGTGTGTGTGTGTGTGTGTGTGTGTGATTGGCCCTGAACTCTTTGCTTCCATAAAATTGGGAAGCGAGCAAACTAGTTTTGAGCATGCCAGGATCGGCAGCTTGTCCACTTAGGCGTTGAGAAATGCATCCGGCATGCACATACTATATAGCTAGAACCGGAAATAAGTAAATGGATCTTAATTGCTAACTTGTGGCTGCCTCAAGTGGCAGACATTTAATAATCATAACAGCAGCGTAAATTGTGGGATTTCCCCTTCCAGCAGCAAACGATTAAACGCAATTGGCGTTGCGGTGTCCCCCTCTTCCCTCTTTCCCACTCACCTTTACAAAGTACGCGTATGTCAAGCTGATGGCTATCGTTGGGAATGGTGAACTCATGAGCGGGTAGTCGCGTGTGCGCGGATCTGATTTATTGTCCATAAGATCCCGCCAGCCATCATAGAATAGTGTGAGGTACTCCTGCAAGTAAATGAAGCGTACACAAGAAAACATTAAATGATAATCAAAATTACAACACAATGCTAAAAGTGTATATGAGTTTTATTGCAAAATCACATTTTTATGCCAAATTGCAGCCGCTTGCTGCGGCGCTCAATCAACCTTGACTAGACAAGCGGGCCTAATACTTGTTGCCAATACTCACAGTTCAGATGTCAAATCAATATAAACACACTTTTACAAATCAAGCCCCCAAACAGATTACAACACGGCACAACAATCAGTCAAATTCATCAATTTACTGCCAGAGAGGTTCAAAGCAGCAGCAGCAGCAGCAGTGGGGCGGATGCGGACAATATAATGACCAGCCTGGGTCGGCAGTGTTGCCGTTAAATGCGCTTTTAATTAAAATGCGCGCTCGCTCTCTCTCTCTCTCTCTCTCTCTCTCTCTCTCTCTCACTGTCCTCATCAGCTCGCTCCGTCGCCATTTGTGCAATAGGCCGTTCCACCAAAAATAAAAAACAACAACAACAATACTCGGGAAAAACGAAAAGCAAACTGGCTTCAGGCTGGCGCGGAAAGAAAACCAAGCGCTAAACAACATTCTAAGCGAATTTCCGTATGGAGCCAAAACAGCCGCTCAGAGCCACTGAGCCGGCACTTGATTTTGTCTAATATTTGTGCGCCAGTTTTCGTTGATTTCTATGCTGCGCTAATCGCTCGCTGTACCACAAAAATAATATTGAAAAAATCGCAAAAATAAACAAACTGGCGCAACTGGCCGCTTGTACAACAAAAACTGTGCTGCTGTTGCAATGGATTCAGTTTTCAACTGTAGTATATACTTGTTGTTGCTGTTGTTGTTGTTGATACTGATGCTGTTGTCGCAGTTATCATTGAAGTTATTGCTGCCGAACATATACACGTAGAACAAACTGAACAATCAGCATGTCGATGACGCAGATGCCACAAACATAACCGACGGGTTCTAGAAATATCAACACCATGAATGAATAGTGGAAAAATAAATAATTGAATATTATTGCACAAACACAAAATAAGTATAAACGAGCTGTGTTAATTGCATCATAAATAATAAGATCGCAGCAATTAATGCAGCAACATTTCACTGCCAATTACAGTAACGATGAACAGAAAAAATTAGGGGAGTATAAGATGCTGAGAGATCAGAATGCTGTCATTATAATAATACATATGTATATCTTAAAAATATATAGAAGCTAAAGTAAAGTTCTCAAACTATCGCTTTGACTTTTACTAAAGGCTTACTTTAAAAAGAGATAATAAAAGTAAAATTAAATTAAAAATGAATTAAATATTGAATACCTTGAAAGTAAAAGCAGAAAAATATGGATTACTTGTATTGTTTTCAGACTAAAAATCATCTGCACACATCCTGGCTCTACATTATTGCGAACTGTTATGAAATTATTTTTGTATTTATTTGGGAATGTAAGCCCTTTTTTATGAAATAAAAAGGGGAATTTGTTATCCAAAGAGACAGTCCTAATTTAAGAAAAAAGGAAAAACATTTCCTAACTCTATTTCTCATTGGTACGGTTTTGTTTATTAAAATTGCAAATTGAATGCTTCTAGAATTGTCGATCTGTAATTCCATTTTTTTTTTTTTTTTGCATGAGCATGAGCAGAAGTTTTTTTCTATGACAACTGTGCGAAATAGACTTAATGAGCTTAACGAGGAAAGAGGACATGATTCTCAATAACCGCCGAATTAAAGTATGTCAAGCTGCTGAGGACAAAGGTGTCTCATTTAGAACGGCAATCAACATTTTAGATGATGAGATGGGAGGAAAGTGTCGGTCCGATGAGTGCCGCGATAATCAATATTTTAGATGATGAGATGGGAGGAAAGTGTCAGTCCGATGAGTGCCGCGATATGACATGGCTCGCAGGAAAAAAAATGCCTGAATAAATCTATTCATCGAGAAAGAATGGTTATTTGAAGAATTCGAATACTAGCATGAACATGTAATAAATACTGTGAGTTCAGATTTTGTTCTTAAAATTACGCAAACCTATCACTCAAATTTTACCCGATCGGGTTGGAGATTTTCCTTTCTCTCTTTTTGCTCCTCAACTAATCTGATTCACTCTTAATTAGATTTCAGTTATGTCCTCTACTTACTATTTATTAACTTTGTTAGACTTCTCTTACCACTTTTGACTATTTGTCAGGGCATAGCTCGAAAAGTGACAAATCTAATCTGACTTTATTGTTTATTTATGTTTGATGCTTTCTTATCTTTCATGTTCTATATCAATATTGTAATCTTAATAAATTTAGGGAGCAGCAACAAATAGAACGATCATTCGTTTGGGGCCCATATCCATAAATTAATTTTACATTACATTTCTTTATAGTTTAATGTCTGGCTCAGAATCGGCGCGATGCTTTGGCATATGTTTGGAAAGATAGCGGCGTCACTGTCTGTCAGGGGAAATCCATCAGCACCGCAAAGCATCGTGTCAACAGCACAAGAGGAAATGTTCGTTCAGCAACAGAAACAATGCGCATTGGACCCTGCCTCTCTTCTTCCCATTGAAATCTTCATGCGGGCAGACTGTTGCCGAGAGCTGATCGAGCATTTGAGCCAAGTCATGCCGTTTACTTGCTTCATTAATAAACAGTGTCTGCTATTAACTAACCAAAGTCTTAGCTTAGTGAGGGTTGGGAGCGGGGGTGGGTGCGGCATATACTTAATTACTGGTTATAGAACGACTGCGACAACGACAACGTCAACTAGTTGTTGTTTGTTGGCATTTCTCGTGACGCACTTGATGGCGGAAAACTACACCCATACTCGATGTAAACAATTGTGGTTGTGGTTGTTATTGCTGCGCTATGGAAATATTTAATATTTCATCGGCCGGTGCAAAGGTGGCCAACAAATTGGCAGAAAGTCGAAAATGGAAATCCAAAGTTGAGTGGACCTTTTTAACAACCATATTTTGCATATTTAGCAGCAAGTGTTTGGGATATGACGCATACGCACTGTTGACGCACCGCGACCCCCAGACACGTGCCCACCATTTTACCTTAGGGCTGAGCCAAAAGTGCCGGTGATGCAATAGAAGAGCTTGTCACCATGGCAGAGGCACAGGTGAGACAAGGTAAGTCCAAGCCGGCCAATTTGATGTTGGTTGCATGATTGCATCTAATTAAGATTCGCTCTCCTAGAGATTTTCTCTTTAACGAGTCTGTATGGTCGCGACTGTGGTGGCGGTTATTACGTCTGCTACGCATGTCTGGCCTTCTTCATGTCGCTTAATTGAATTTGAAATTAAAACGAGAAAATTTGATAAAAGCATTTCCGGCGCGACCTTTTCTTGCAATTTAGTGGCTCACACTCGCTTTTCCCTCGACACGCCACACTCTCAAAATTGTTGACCCAGAGGAAGCGAGTTGCGCAATTCTAGAAACCAGCTGTGACGTTGGAGGGGGAAAATACTGATTTAATATTTTATTTATTCATTTCATTTCTAGCCATTTGCACTTTTGCATTTTTCTGCTTTAATCTCACATATTTTAAACTATTTGATTAAGGAAAATTACTAGCGACTACTACAACCGGTTGTCAAACTCGGACCGACACCTGAGTAGAATGGGGTGAGTTGAGTTTAGGTGAGGTGAGGTGAGGAGGTGCGTGGCAGGTCGACCGCATTAAGTCTACAATAATATACAGGCATTGTAGGCATTAAATTGCAGTAACGGCTACTAAATTGTAACGCAGCGCGTAATTAAATTTAATTATCTGCCTTTGTTTTTCTCGCCTGCACTTCAACAACGAACATAAACATGTGCATGCCATAGTCGTAAGTAGTACGTTGTGAGTAGTAAATAGTAAATAGTAGAAAATAACAAATAGATAAGTACTATATATTAGAATTGTAAGCGCTCAGGCAGGCATCAACAAATCGGGCCAAATCGAGCATGCCAAGATCAATGGACAGACGAAATACCATACTCAGCAAATTATAATAGAAACTTGTTTTGTCATTATTCGGCAAATTTTTGCGCTATTTCTTTTTGCTCGAGCCCAAGACCGAACGCACGGAAGTAATTTCGCAGCTTACTATGGAAACTCATTGAGCATTTTGGCTTAGAGCGGAAGTGTTGATTGCACATAACACACCAAATTCCTAAGTAACTCTACAGAATTAATTTCAGAAATGGCCAGGGTGACTATGGGAAGATAAAACGATTAAATTATAATTAGAGGTGCAATTATTGGTCCTTGAAAAGCCATTATGATAAATGTTGAATAAATTCGGCCAGAACTAACAAAGCGGTACAATAAACTTAATTTCCATTCCACATCTTAGCTGGCATTTTATAAGTATGTACTACTACTATAAGAAACGCAAGCGGAGCTGTGAGGTTAGTAAATAACTAAGTTTACAGATACTTGTATCTTGCTATTGCTCTATTGTATATATGTATGTATAATATTGTTTTTTTGAATTCTCAAACTGAACTTCAATGCACATCGATACTTATTCATCGATATTATCGATATCATATTACAACAGATAGTAATTAATAGTGAATACACGAAACATCGATACGACATCGCGATTCCAGTAGATTACACGAGAGATGCAACACTATTAAGCATAAATACAAATATAGAGCTTGGTTTTCATATTTAAATAAAAAAAACTGTTTTTTTTTAACCCATCTTAAATCATATCGTTTCTATGTACCTTGACATATTTTCTGTGCCCATCAAAGAGAAGACTCATATATTTCAATAAGCGATATATTGCTCCCAAGCTTTCAAATACAATTTTTGCTCACATAGAATCTAAATAAAGTCATTTTTAAAATATTCCTGTTTGCATTCGAAGCCTTAACAAAATCTGAAAACAAAATTAAAAACGAGAATAGCGTTCATAAAGTGTTTTTTTTTTTTTTTGGCTTAAAAGCGCGGAGATGGGCGTTTATATAAATATAACGACAAAAAACAACTTAATACGTC